TCTGTGTTACTTGTATGGGAGTCCAGCTAACTCTCTGAGAAGCGTTTCAGACACAGTTGCTCAACTCATTAACTTAGGCAGTTTGTCTCTCCACAGGTGATTTTCCATGAAGGTTATTCCTTAAGAATCTCTGAAACCCTTCACCTTCCCTTTCTGGAAAAGAACCTCTCCAGCTGATGGAACATTCTCTCGTTGATGGAACAGACCTCTCTAGTTGATGGAACAGACCTCTTTAGTTGATGAAACAGATCTCTCTAGTTGATGGAACAGACCTCTCTAGTTGATGGAACAGACATCTCTAGTTGATGTAACAGACCTCTCTAGTTGATGAAACAGACCCCCCTGATTGATGGAACAGACCTCTCTAGTTGGTGGAACAGACCCCTCTAGTTGATGGAACAGACCTTTCTAGTTGATGGAACAGATCTCTCTAGTTGATCGAACATACTCCTTTAGTTGATGGAACAGACATCTCTAGTTGATGGAACAGACCCCTCTAGTTGATGGAACAGACCCCTCTAGTTGATGGAAGACACCCTTCTAGTTAATGGAACAGACCTCTCTAGTTGATGGAACAAACCTCTAGTTGATGGAACAGACCTCTCTAGTTGATGGAACAGACCTCTCTAGTTGATGGAACAGACCTCTCTAGTTGATAGAACAGACCCCTTTAGTTGATGGAACAGACCTCTCTAGTTGATGGAACAGACATCTCTAGTTGATGAAACAGACATCTCTAGTTGATGGAATAAACATCTCTAGTTGATGGAACAGACATCTCTAGTAGATGAAACTGACCTCTCTTGTTGATAGAACAGACCTCTCTAGTTGATGAAACAGACATCTCTAGTTGATGGAACTGACCTCTTTAGTTAATGAAACAGACCTCTCTTGTTGATGGAACAGACCCTTCTCGTTGATGAAGCAGACCTCTTTAGTTGATGAAACAGACCTCTCTAGTTGATGGAACAGACCCCTCTAATTGATGGAACAGACATCTCGAGTTGATGAAACAGACCTCTTTAGTTGATGGAACAGACATCTCTAGTTGATAGAACAGACCTCTCTAGTTGATAGAACAGACCTCTCTAGTTAATGGAACAGACATCTCTAGTTGATGAAACAGACATCTCTAGTTGATGGAACAAACATCTCTAGTTGATGGAACAGACATCTCTAGTTGATGAAACAGACATCTCTACTTGATAGAACAGACCTCTCTAGTTGATGAAACAGACATCTCTTGTTGATGGAACAGACCTCTCCTGTTGATGGAACAGACCCTTCTCGTTGATGAAACAGACCTCTTTAGTTGATGGAACAGACATCTCTAGTTGATAGAACAGACCTCTCTAGTTGATAGAACAGACCTCTCTAGTTAATGGAACAGACATCTCTAGTTGATGAAACAGACATCTCAAGTTGATGGAACAGAAATCTCTAGTTAATGAAACAGACATCTCTAGTTGATGGAACAGACCTCTCTAGTTGATGGAACAGACCTCTCTAGTTAATGGAACAGACCTCCCTAGTTGATGAAACAGACATCTCTAGTTGATAGAACAGACCCCTCTAGTTGATAGAACAGACCCCTTTAGTTGATGAAACAGACCTCTCTAGTTGATAGAACAGACCTCTCTAGTTGATGGAACAGACCTATCTAGTTGATGAAACAGACCTCTCTAGTTGATGGAACAGACCTCTCTAGTTGATGGAACAGACCTCTCTAGTTGATGGAACAGACATCTCTAGTTGATGAAACAGACCTCTCTAGTTGCTGGAACAGACCTCTCTAGAAGATGAAACAGACCTCTCTAGTTGATAGAACAGACCCCTTTAGTTGATGGAACAGACCTCTCTAGTTGATGGAACAGACATCTCTAGTTGATGAAACAGACATCTCTAGTTGATGGAATAAACATCTCTAGTTGATGGAACAGACATCTCTAGTAGATGAAACTGACCTCTCTTGTTGATAGAACAGACCTCTCTAGTTGATGAAACAGACATCTCTAGTTGATGGAACTGACCTCTTTAGTTAATGAAACAGACCTCTCTTGTTGATGGAACAGACCCTTCTCGTTGATGAAGCAGACCTCTTTAGTTGATGAAACAGACCTCTTTAGTTGATGGAACAGACCCCTCTAATTGATGGAACAGACATCTCGAGTTGATGAAACAGACCTCTCTAGTTAATGGAACAGACCTCTGTAGTTGATGGAACAGACCTCTCTTGTTGATGGAACAGACCCCTTTAGTTGATGGAACAGACCCCTTTAGTTGATAAAACAGACCTCTCTAGTTGATGAAACAGACCTCTCTAGTTGATAGAACAGACCTCTCTAGTTGATAAAACAGACATCTCTAGTTGATGGAACTGACCTCTTTAGTTGATGAAACAGACCTCTCTAGTTGATGGAACAAACCTCTAGTTGATGGAACAGACCTCTCTTGTTGATGGAACAGACCGTTCTCGGTGATGAAACAGACCTCTTTAGTTGATGAAACAGACATCTCTAGTTGATGGAACAGACCCCTCTAGTTGATGGAACAGACATCTCGAGTTGCTGAAACAGACCTCTCTAGTTGATGGAACAGACATCTCTAGTTGATGAAACAGACATCTCTAGTTGATGGAACAGACATCTCTAGTTGATGGAACTGACCTCTTTAGTTGATAAAACAGACCTCTCTAGTTGATGGAACAAACCTCTTGTTGATGGAATAGACCTCTCTAGTTGATGGAAGACACCCCTCTAGTTAATGGAACAGACCCCTCTAGTTAATGGAACAGACCTCTCAAGCTGATTGAACAAACTTCTAAAGCTGATGGGACAGCCATCTCCATCGTTGACCAGACTTCTCCAGGTGATGAAACAGATCTATCTAGCTGATGGAACAGACATCGCCAGGTCATGGAACAGACCTCTCTAGTTGATAAAGCTAACTTTGCCTTCTTCTGGGCAGCTAGTCTGTCGTACAGACCCTGAAACAAATATATCCAAGAAAGACCACGCAAGTCTAGAAAATGTGGCAAGGCTAGATTTCCTCAGCTTCAGGAATGAAGAAAGTCTCAGGGCTTCTTTTCATTATATTCTTTTTTTTTTACTATGACCTTTTTTCAGTAAAATATGTTCATTTCAGAGACTAGTTTTTAGTCTACTGGGTAGCGGACGTCAGGTCTTTCCACGGTTGTTCTAGTCTGTAATTGATACTCTTGTACTGATTAGAAGCCTTCGAACTATCTGACCAGCACTTTCTCAATGTCCAGTTCATTCCTCTGACTGTGCTCAAGACCCATGAGAAATGCCTACGGTTTTGTCTATGTCCAGTGTCGTCGACCAAGCATATTCACTATACCATGTATCTAATTCAATAAATCTCAGGTGGTAGCAGTTGAAGTTCATCCTGATCTTGGATCATCTTCAAGGTTTTCCTCCTTCCCATCTTGAACCCATCTTCCAACCCCCAACAGTGACAAAGAAGGAAGGATCACAATCGCCTGGAGTTGACATCATGACATCGCAAGACTGGCGTTAGGTACCTACAACACGGGTACCTACAACAGGCATCTGCAACACAGGGATCTACAACAAAGATATCTACAGCATAGGTATCTACAACTTGGGTCTCACAACATGGGTTTGTACAACACAGGGATCTACAACAAAGATATCTACAGCATAGGTATCTACAACTTGGGTCTCACAACATGGGTTTGTACAACACGGGTATCTACAACACAGATATCTACAACAGGCATCTGCAACACAGGGATCTACAACAAAGATATCTACAGCATAGGTATCTACAACTTGGGTCTCACAACATGGGTTTGTACAACACAGGGATCTACAACAAAGATATCTACAGCATAGGTATCTACAACTTGGGTCTCACAACATGGGTTTGTACAACACGGGTATCTACAACACAGATATCTACAGCATAGGTATCTACAACTTGGGTCTCACAACATGGGTTTGTACAACACAGGTACCTACAACACAAATATCTACAGCATAGGTATCTACAACTTGGGTCTCACAACATGGGTTTGTACAACACGGGTACCTACAACACAGATACCTACAACAGGCATCTGCAACACAAAGATCTACAACACAGATATCTACAGCATAGGTATCTACAACTTGGGTCTCAAAACATGGGTTTGTACAACACAGGTACCTACAACACAGATATCTACAGCATAGGTATCTACAACTTGGGTCTCACAACATGGGTTTGTACAACGCGGGTACCTACACCATGATGTACCTACAAAACGGGTATCTACAACACGGGGACCTACAACACAGGTACCTACAATATCGGTATCTAAAACACAGGTATCTACAACATAGGTACCTACAACGAAGGTAGCAACAACATTGGTACCTACAACACGGGCACCTGTAACACAGGTATCTACAACTTGGGTACTTACTACATGTTATCTACAACACAGGTACCTACAATATCGGTCTCTAAAACACAGGTAGCAACAACATGGGCACCTACAACGAGGGTAGCAACAACATGGGTACCTACAACACGGGCACCTGTAACACAGGTATCTACAACTTGGGTACTTACTACATGTTATCTACAACATGGGTACCTACCACACCGGCACCTGTTACACAGGTATCTACAACTTGGGTACTTACTACATGTTATCTACAACATGGGTACCTACCACAACGGCACCTGTTACACAGGTATCTACAACATGGGTACCTACAACACGAGTACCTTTTCCACGGGTACCTCTGACACACTAACAATACCAGAACCATTGAACCATTGACTTGGTTTTCAAGCAACCCATGCGACCCACATCATCGGGTGGCCTAGCTCGCTGACCTGGTTGACAGCATTTCATTGTACAACATATATATCAACGGCTTAGCTACCTACAACGAGGATAACAACAATATGGGTACCTACAACACAGGTATCTCAATACGGTGACCTACAACACTGGTATCTACAAAATGGGTATCTACAGCATGGGTATCTACAACACGGGTATCTACAACACGGGTATCTACAACACGGGTACCTACAACATGGGTATCTACAACACGGGTATCTACAACACAGGTACCTACAACATGGGTATCTACAACACGGGTATCTACAACATGGGTATCTACAACATGGGCATCTACAACACGGGTACCTACATCACGGGTACCTACAACATGGGCAACTACAACACGGGTATCTACATCACGGGTACCTACAACATGGGCATCTACAACACGGGTATCTACAACACGGGTACCTACAACATGGGTATCTACAACACGGGTATCTATAACACGGGTATCTACAACACGGGTATCTACAACACGGGTATCTACAACACGGACACCTACAACACGGACACCTACAACACGGCTATCTACAACATGGGTATCTACAACACGGGTACCTACAACACGGGTATCTACAACATGGGTACCTACAACACGGGTATCTATAACACGGGTATCTACAACACAGGTATCTACAACACAGGTATCTACAACATGGGTATCTACAACACGGGTATCTACAACACGGGTACCTACAACACGGGTGTCTACAACACGGGTATCTACAACACGGGTATCTACAACACGGGTACCTACAACACGGGTATCTATAACATGGGTATCTACAACACGGGTATCTACAACACGGGTACCTACAACACGGGTATCTACAACTACAACACGGGTATCTACAACACGGACACCTACAACACGGGTATCTACAACATGGGTATCTACAACTACAACACGGGTATCTACAACACGGACACCTACAACACGGGTATCTACAACATGGGTATCTACAAGACGGGCACCTACAACACAGGTATCTACAACACGGGTATCTACAACACGGACACCTACAACACGGGTATCTACAACATGGGTATCTACAACACGGGCACCTACAACACGGGTATCTACAACATGGGTATCTACAACACGGGCACCTACAACACGGGTATCTACAACATGGGTATCTACAACACGGGTATCTACAACACGGGTATCTACAACACGGACACCTACAACACGGGTATCTACAACATGGGTACCTACAACACAGGTATCTACAACACGGGTATCTACAACAGGGGTATCTACAACACCGACACCTACAACACGGGTATCTACAACATGGGTATCTACAACACAGGTATCTACAACACGGGTATCTACAACACGGGTATCTACAACACGGGTACCTACAACACGGGTATCTACACACGGTAACTACGGACACAGTAGGTGTATTTAAAACACGGGTATAAGCAACACGGATTTTACAACATGGGTACCTTCAAAATCCGTAACTACATCACCGGTACCAGTATTAATCCCTGATTCCTGCAACACGGGTACCTACAACAATGATTCCTATAACAATGGTACCTACAACCTGGGTACCTACAGCACCAGTACCTTTCCCATGGGTACCTCCGAGACATTCACTAGAACACCAGATGCCGTGAAGATCCGGCTTAGAATTTGTCTTCAGTAACCCATGCTTTTCGTTAGAGGCGACTAACAGGATCGGGTGGTCAGGCTCGCTGACTTGGTTGACACATGTCATTGTATCCCAATTAGGTAGATCGATGCTGATGATGTTGATCACTGGATTGCCTGGTCCATACTCGACTATTTACAGACCACCGCCAAATAGCCTGAATATTGCTGAGTGCGGCATTAAACAACAAGAATATGAGTCCCTGCTACACAGGTTTGAAAGTTGACCAACTAAACGCTCTGTGTAGCACTGTGCCTGTGGCCGCCCAGAAGTCCCCGACCCGTCCTGACAGTTGTTCTCGGCCCCAGGCCCGGGGCTACAGTTACCACACATCCACAGTGAGCCAGCCCTGTGTTGGCGCAGCACGCTATTAGGGAGGGGTTGATTGAGTGGTGTAGCGGCCTGTGAGCCCAGGACAAGACAGTCAAGGCGTTCTCGATACCCATCAGCGCTGAAACATGGCTGCTATTTTATTTACGATGAGATATCTTTAATTCATGTATGTCTTTAGGCTACAACATTTGACGTAATTTTCTTACCACTAAATAATTTTGTTCAATTACACCTACTGTATGAAATTAATGCCCTTTTTACGGCCTTAAGCCGTTTATTTCCCTACAATAACAAAGTACTTTTCCCGATCGATCGGCTCTGGCAAGATTTAATTGAACCTCGCAAAGGTATCAATTTCTTACTCTTTTTTTCCTTTTTTTTATGCATAAAAATTGAGCTCCAGTTTAATAGGAACTCGTTGCGCGTAGATTCCTCAGTTTGAATGGTTCAATAGTGGTGGCGTGTTCGGGACATGCTATTACTTCCGACATCGGAGGTCATACAAAATAAATATGGATTAAACCTTCTCCAGAGGAACAGCCGCACATTACGGCTCAAGCCGCTTAAATGCACGTGTGTTTTGTTAGAGCCTTGTAGTTAACACAAAGACGGAAACATGTGTTGATATTGGTCTCGTGGAATAGGGCAGGATATCTGGACAAGTCCCGCAATGACCAGACTGTCCACTTCTATCGCCAATACACTGCTTTAAATTTTAACATTAAACACTACAGTTGTGTACTCTTACACCTTCTTGAAGACACTGGAATTGTACACTGTGTGCAGCTACCACAGACATTCGAGTTATCCAAAGCCTCCACCAGTCTAAGGATACTAGAGAGGTACACATGGTACACCCGCCACAAATATGGGGTTTGTACTACTGCCCAGACCTACCAATACCCAAGACACTTACTTCAAGACACTTAATCCAAACAGTGTCTACACCTACCCGAACAATAGTTGTACAATGCCCAAACCAGCCACACGAGAGTTGTACACTGTCTACACCCACCTGCATTGTCGAAACTAAAATGACTCCCACTTGCCTGAAGATACTTGACTTTAAATTCAGTGGTCGACATGACGATCACTGACCCATTGCGACCGACTAGTGATGAAAATCTGCAGGCTGATGAACTAAAAATTGAAAAAGTGCTACCTACTATTGAAACGTGTAAATGCATTTACATAAAATAATAGAATTGATCCTGAAAACAGCAGTTTTGTTGGCAAAGCATAGCTCATGCATTCCTTGCGGCAGTCGAAACAGAACGACCAGTCGTTGCCCCGAGTTTCTGGAACGACCTGACACGTTGTCAAGGCTTCAAACAATTTGAAACAACCTTCCCCACGAAAACCTGGTTCCTAAACGATGTCTCACATGTTGCGCGGTTGGACGACGCAGATCAAAGCATATTTTAGTCCACGGTATGAATGAAAGCAAATGGAGGATATCCTAAACTCAGAAGTAAGATTGTTCTCGCAAAAAATCGCTAGGAGAGCTGCATGGTATGTTTGTTATCACGAAAAAGACTGTAAATGCATACAAATGCCTCTATGTTGTATGTTCATTTCACACCAAGTACTGTACACATACAAGTTTGGCGTATTTGGTACAGATTTTTACCGTATATTTCTTTCCACCCGTTGGTTAAAAGCTCAAAGATTGCTGCTTATTGTGGACCGTTGTCTCAGGACATGAGTTACCAAGAACCAGTGTCCAAGGACAAGAGTTACCAAGAACCAGTGTCCAAGTACATGAGTTACCAGGAACCAGTGTCCAATGACATGAGTTACCAAGAACCAGTGTCCAAGAACATGAGTTACCAGGAACCAGTGTCCAAGAACATGAGTTAACAGGAACCAGTGTCCAAGAACATGAGGTACCAGGAACCGTTGTCCCAGAACATCAGTTACCAGGAACCGGTGTCCCAGGGCGTGAGTTACTAAGAACCGATGTCCCAGGACATGAGTTACCAGGAACCGGTGTCCCAGGACATGAGTTACTAGGAACCTGTGTCCCAGGACATGAGTTACTAGGAACCAGTGTCCCAGGACATGAGTTACAAGGAGCCGGTGTCCCAGGACATGAGTTACCAGGAACCGGTGTTCCAGGACATGAGTTACTAGGAACCTGTGTCCCAGGACATGAGTTACTAGGAACCAGTGTCCCAGGACATGAGTTACCAGGAGCCGGTGTCCCAGGACATGAGTTACCAGGAACCGGTGTCCCAGGACGAGAGTTACCAGGAACCAGTGTCCCAGGGCGTGAGTTACTAGGAACCTGTGTCCCAGGACATGAGGTACAAGGAACCGGTGTCCCAGGACATGAGTTACCAGGAACCGGTGTCCCAGGACATGAGTTACTAGGAACCAGTGTCCCAGGGCGTGAGTTACTAGGAACCAGTGTCCCAGGACATGAGTTACCAGGAGCCTGTGTCCCAGGATATGAGTTACCTGGAGCCGGTGTCCCAGGACATGAGTTACTAGGAGCCTGTGTCCCAGGATATGAGTTACCAGGAGCCTGTGTCCCAGGACATGAGTTACCAGGAGCCTGTGTCCCAGGACATGAGTTACTAGGAACCAGTGTCCCAGGACCTGAGTTACCAGGAACCCATGTCCCAGGATATGAGTTACCGGGAACCGTGGTCCAAGAGCATGCGTTACCATGAACCGTTGTCCAAGGGCATGAGTTACCAGGAACCCGTGTCCCAGGACGTTAGCTACTAGATACCATTGTTCCAGGACATTAGTTTTCCAGGAAGCCTTGTCCCAGGACATAAGTTTTCCAGGAAGCCTTGTCCGAGGGAATCAGTGACCAGGGAGACCAGGGGAAGAGTGGGACGAGATAGGTCAGCAGTAGTAAAATGAGGGGAACAGTGAATGGATATTAAGAAGAACACATAATCTAAAAAGGACAGTTACCAGGAGCCGGTGTCCCAGGACATGATTTACCATGAACCGGTGTCCCAGGACATGAGTTATCAGGAGCCGGTGTCCCAGGACATGAGTTACCAGGAGCCAATGTCCTAGGACATGAGTTACCAGGGACCGGTGTCCCAGGACATGATTTACCATGAACCGGTGTCCCAGGACATGAGGTACCAGGAGCCGGTGTAAACAGGACATGAGTTACCAGGAGCCGGTGTCCCAGGACATGAGTTATCAGGAACCGGTGTCCCAGGACATGAGGTACAAGGAACCGTTGTCACAGGACATAAGTTACAAGGAACCGCTGTACCAGGACATGAGTTACCAGGAATCAGTGTCAAAGGGCATGAGTTACCAGGAACAGTGTCCCATGACATGAGGTTCCAGGAACCGTTGTCCCAGAACATGAGTTGCCAGGAACCTCTGTACCAGGACGTGATTTACTAGGAACCGATGTCCCAGGACGTGAGTTACCAGGAACCCATGTCCCAGGACTTGAGGTACCAGGAACTGTTCTCCAAGGGCATGAGTTACCAGGACCCGTTGTCCCAGGGCATAAGTAACCTGGAGCCGGTGTCCCAGGACGTGAGTTACCAGGAACCCATGTCCCAGGACATGAGTTACCGGGAACCGTTGTCCAAGAGCATGCGTTACCAGAAACCGTTGTCCAAGGGCATGAGTTACCAGGAACCCATGTCCCAGGATATGAGTTACCGGGAACCGTTGTCCAAGAGCATTCGTTACCAGAAACCGTTGTCCAAGGGCATGAGTTACCAGGAACCGGTGTCCCAGGACGTTAGCTACTAGATACCATTGTCCCAGGACATAAGTTTTCCAGGAAGCCTTGTCCCAGGAAATCAGTGACCAGGGAGACCAGGGGAAGAGTGGGACGAGATAGGTCAGCAGTAGTAAAATGAGGGGAACAGTGAATGGATATTAAGAAGGACACATAACCTAAAAAGGACAGAGGGCCTAAAATAAGAGGGAAGAACAGGGCGAAAGAAACGCACAGCGGCATAGCAGCGATTCTGTATGGGGAAATGTATTTAGAGACGAACACTGGGCTATTACAGTGGACTCTAAGGTCAGCTACAGTTGAAGGTTATGGTTTCTGTAACTATTGTCTGATGTATAACTATGCGCGCTAAAGACGTGGGTCATATCGACGTGTCTCTCTTCATTACGCAAGTCACGCCAAGCTCCGTGCAGGGCCCCCATACATTCATCTCTATACTAAGCTGCCAATTTAAATTTTCTGCAAGTAGATAAACTGCTGACTGCGAGGTGGAATAATCGCCTCCTCCCGGTATTGGAGGACGTACGGCACAATGGAGGCATCACTTACGTGGATTTATGACGTATGTTGTGTTGGGACATGCGCAGTGACCTCCGCAGCAAATCATCTCCTTCTCTTTTGCCGAGTGTACGTGAAGGAATCCCCCACCCATCCATGCAGGCAGTTTATTCTGTTCTCGGACATCAGCATATTTCAAACTGTTCAAATCAGTCAATTATGCTTTAACGGGCACTTGTCTGACAGCAGCATTCGATACAGGCGGAAAGATTGCCTCAACTTTAATAGTACTGGTGGCGTGTAATGGTGAGACGAGTAGAGCCTGTTCCATGAGTGAGTGAGGCTTGATACACGTGACAGATGTTCTATATCTATATATATATATATTTACCCACGGTATATAATAAGTACCCAGTACTCAACTGATAACGTATTTCTCCTTTGAGTGGCATTTTAGAAGTTGAGAAGTACAATATTGACCAAACTCTATGAATAACAACTTCTTTTATTACGTGAGTGTGACGTTTCGATACAGATTCTTGTACCGTTGTCAAGCAGTAATGCCAGGAATGTCAGGAATGCTTGACAACGGTACAAGAATCTGTATCGAAACGTCACACTCACGAAATAATAGAAGTTGTTATGGTCCAATATGTTTGTTCAATATGATAGCGTATTGCATATGCCCATTGATCAGGTGTGTGTACTTGATTGATTCCACTGGCTGTATGCTGTTGTTCTTGTAAATATTAACATGGCTGGGGCCCTGGGAAGATGTCCTTTAGAATATCATGACGGCTGTTGTCCTCGGAGGATGGTTTATTGTAGCATTAAGATGGCTGTGGTCCATGGGAAGAGGGTCAATAGGAACATTAAGGTAGCTGTTGTCCTCAGGACGAGGGTTCACGGGAACATTAAGATGGCTGTGGTCCATGGGACGAGGGTCTATAGGAACATTAAGGTAGCTGTTGTCTTTGGAACGATTGTTCACAGGACCACTAAGATGGCTGTGGTCGATGGGAAGAGGGCCAATAATAACATTAAGGTAGCTGTTGTCCTCAGGACGAGGGTTCACAGGACCACTAAGATGGCTGTGGTCGATAGGACGAGGGTCCATAGGAACATTAAGGTAGCTGTTGTCCTCAGGACGAGGGTTCACAGGACCACTAAGATGGCTGTGGTCGATAGGTCGAGGGTCCATAGGAACATTAAGGTAACTGTTGTCCTCGGAACTAGGGTTCACGGGAACATTAAGATGGCTGCGGTCCATGGGAAGAGGGTCAATAGGAACATTAAGGTAGCTGTTGTCCTCGGAACTAGGGTTCACGGGAACATTAAGATGGCTGCGGTCCATGGGAAGAGGGTCCATAGGGACATTAAGGTAGCTGTTGTCCTCCGGACGAGGGTTCATGGGAACATTGAGATGGATGTGGTCCCAAGGAGAATGGTTCCTAATAACATTACGAGGGCTGTTGTCTGAGTAAAGACGGTTCATTGGAACATTAAGTGAGTGAGTGACTTGTGTTTTACGCCCTTTTAGCAATATTCCAGCATCATTACGGCGGTGGACTGCAAAATTAAGATGGCTGTTCATCAGGGTATAGGGTTCATTGGAACATTAAGATGACTGTTCGACAACAGTCGATAACGGTACATGTATCGTCATATTTATTCGTCATAACTGTTATGCGGTTAATCTTTAGTGTTTGAGTATTCTTACCTATGTATTACGCCTCACACAGAAGCTTGGTCACCTACACACAAATTATATCTCAACACCCACTTGAATCTGGGAAGGAGCACTGGCTTTTAATATAAATGTAATAACAAACCTTCAGAAAAGAAAAATGTGTCATATTTTGCGAGTAACAGAAAAAGTTGACAAAATGGATCTCATGCTAAACCTGCATATTCCTTTGAGGGAATTGTATGTCTCGAAGTACAGACTGTAAAAATGTCTGTATCTAACATCCAGTCCACCTTCAGTCCATGGTCCATCCCTACCGCGATCTTCATAATGATCTGCACAATACTGGCCCTATAGACGACCATTCAACTCCAGTAATGTGTTCGAGGCTACAAGACAACTACCACACTGCAAGAATACACCCTTAACAGCATCACCATCCTGAATATTCATTCTGGATATTGGAATGTTTATTGGTGGACTTTGGACAATATGACTATCTGAAATCTGCAACAACGCCATTCCAGGAAACGTACGTAAATCTCGAAACAGCCCATGTTCCGGTGTGTTCGGGTACAGAAAGCCAGTTTAACACACTGACAATAAAGACATGCAGTTGTTTGCTACGTAATAGACTCACAAATAGTCTCTAAAATATAGGTACGTACACGCTCAAATAACAATAAATTCCATAAGAAAAAACATAGTTATTAAGGAACCAACTCTCAAGTAGAGGAGCTGATAATGGGATGAGTATAATTGAGTTGACTAGGGGATGAAGTGTGGAATGGAATAGGGGAGAATGTTTTATTACACATAGGGGTCTGTAATAGAGACAAACATGTAGACCGCACCCAGTTTATGAAGCAAACGTCTAATGTTCCATTCGTCCGGTTATACGACATCAACTATTGGATAATGTCACGTCCACTGCCGGCCTACAACATTCACGCATTATGCCAGCTTTAGATGGTGTTTACTTGGATAAATACTTTTCTGATCTGATAGCACATTGGACCGATTTACTAATATTGATTGGGTATCTATAACCACTTAATGAATGTACGAGATGATTGCAGCAAATGATTGAAGATAAATAGCGAGGCGAGTCAGTCAGTGTGTAGGACAACGATATAGGTGAGTAAGGACGAAGACACAGTGGAGAGAGAGAGAGAGAGAGAGAGAGAGAGAGAGAGAGAGAGAGAGAGAGAGAGAGAGAGAGAGAGAGAGAGAGAGAGAGAGAGAGAGGAGAGTAAGAGAGAGAGAGAGACACAGATAGAGACAGAGAGAGACAGAGTCAGAGACAGAGACAGAGAGACACAGGTTTATGTGTATAGTAACCACAAAAAGGATAACCGAGCTTCAAGGTTCGATCAATGTACATGTACATGAAGTCCTGCATCTGTCAGTACATATCCACGAACACAATTTGCAAGAGCTTGTTGGGCGCATGATACTCATACACGTGGTTATTCCATGTTAACAGCACAGGGTGATTGTTCAGCTGTCAAGTGTTCATAAAACACTTTAATTTTACCGTACATAAAAAAATACGCAATGCCATGGTTGAAAATCAGCGTCTACGCTTCGTGGGTGTTCTGCAAACAGGAATGGCGCAAAACCAAGTTTCAAGATAGTTCAGTATTCATGACAAGACTCAGACACTACACTGCGTTCACAGATGAGTCAGGGTTTCATGTGGGCAGCTCTGACGGTCGTGCGAGGGTCAGCAGGAACGTTTCAGCGACGTTTGCGTTTCTCAACGTCGACGTTTTGGACGTGGAACAGCAATCATATGGGGTGGTACAACTTCTAGTGGCAAGACACGATTCAGCAATATTAACGGCAATTTGTATGGCGTACCCTACCGACAAGACATCGTTTCTGATCACGTTCAATCCTTTGTTCCAGCACAGGGACGTAACGTCACGTAGCAGCAGAATAATACCAGCCCACAATAAACTGTGTCAGGCCTCATAGCATTACTGCAGACCATTGCGCCATAGAACATATTTGGGATTGGATGGGTTGACGTCTACGACAGGACCAGAACCAGCCGGTAACGCTAACACAGTTGGTCCATTTCAAAGGCTCCTCGCCTGTCAACGCCTATCAGGCCACACGGAGACGTATGGAGGGACACATAGATACGTAGATGGACACACAGAGAACCCCATAGACACAGAGAGCAACATGTACAAGGGAGAGACATGTCGAACACGTTTATGGGGCACTGATAGGATCTTTCCAGGAAATTCCATACCGCCGCGCACCTGTCTGCCTCTCAACCTTACATACCCGTCACGCATGTAGTACCATCTTAACAGTTCCTTCACAGAAGGTGCTTTATCTTTCCCTCCTCGGCGCCATCATACCTAGCCAGGCAAGGCTAATGTAAGTCATATATATACTCATACCAATATTTTTTTTAATTGGAGAGGGGGTGTGGAGTGGGGGTGTGAGGTGTGTGTGGGTTGGGGTGGGGAGGGGGGTTGACAACCATTATTGGCATGAGTATATATAGAGTGTGTAAGGGTATATCGTGTGTAGCCAGGCCTGACTAATGTACGTCTTATATATAGAGTGTTTAAGAGTACATCGTGTATAGCCAGGCCAGACTAATGTAAGTCTTATATATAGAGTGTGTAAGGGTAATCGTGTATAGTCAGGCCAGATTAATGTAAGTCTTATATATAGAGTGTGTAAGGGTAATCGTGTATAGCCAGGCCTGACTAATGTACGTCTTATATATAGAGTGTGTAAGAGTACATCGTGTATAGCCAGGCAAGGCTAATGTAAGTCATATATATACTCATACCGATACTT